AAAAAAAAAAAAAAAAAGACCAGCCTGGGCAACATAGATAGACCCTGTCTCTACAAGAAATAAAAATATTATCCAGGCATGGTAGTATGCACCTATGGTCCTAGCTACTGGGGTGGTGGAGACAGGAAGATCATTTCAGCTGAGGAGTTTGAGGTTGCAGTGAGCTGTGAGAGATTGCACTGCATTGTAGCCCAGACAACAAAGAGGCACTGTCTTTAAAAAGAAACACAACAAATGTACGTGAAATTAAATTTCTGTTCTACACACTGTCTCCAAAAAAGTTGGGAAGTCAAATGAAATGGCATCTGTTGGGTGGTGCCTGTGGCTCAATGCGTAGGGTGCCTGCCTCACATACCCAGGGTATGTGGGGGTCCCGGCCCCAGCCAAACTGCAACAAAGGAATAGATGGGCATTGTGGCAGGTGCCTGTAGTCGCAGCTACTTGAGAGGCTGAGGCAAGAGAATTCCCTAAGCCCAAGAGCTGTAGGTTGCCGTGAACTGTGATGCCACAGCACTCTGAGGGCAACAAAGTGAGACTCTCTTAAAAAAAAAGAAAGAAAGAAAGAAATGGAATCTGTCAGGGCTTTGACCAGCATTATCTTCAGACCCAACCCATCCTGTGTTAATGGGGCAGAGATGCCTGTAGTTGTAGACTATTTTCTGAAGAGGTACCAAGGAAAGAGGAAATTGTAAAATGCTGAAGCTATGGACTCTTCCAGACCCCCCCACACACTCAAGACCAGCTCTGGAGTACAGTAATTGTTCTCTAGATTGAACATCCCTTGGTATGTGTGAGGTAGGTGGATTCAAGTGACCTCAGAATGGTGAAGCTGTGATTCTGGTCAGTAAGGACAAAGAAACAGGTTAATCTCCCTGGAGAGAGGGTATACCAGGCAGGTCTCTCCTCCACTCTTCTGTTACTGGCTTGAATTTGGTGAGGGTCTTAGATGGAACCAAGAGCCTCAGATGAACTGGGAATAAATTCTTCACTTTCCCTTTTGCTCCTGGCAGCAGGTAGAGCTCTTGCCTCACTTGGCTTAAGGAAGAATTAGGGCCAACTGGTTGGAGAATACAGATGAAATAGGTTCAAACACCGCTTGAGATAGTCTTGGAAGTTGCCATCAATCAGGGACTCACTCTGATGGGATCCTGCTCCCGCACTTGCAAGGAAGTTTCCACACTTAATGAGGTGTTGTTGCACTTGTGTTACCCCATTTGGGGGGGAGCTGTGCGTACAGAGCCCAAAGCTGACTTGGTCAGCAGTGGGGTCCCTTGGAGCCATTAGCCCAACCCTTTCAGTTCTTGTACTGGGCAGTGGGCTCACTCCACTTGCTGCCTAGGCCCTTCGACGCAACCACCAAGAAATGATGACATGGCTAGCGAGGCTGACAGTCTTGCTGTAATTGGGAGAAAATGGGCTGCAGCACATTTGGCAGATTGAGTCACCAGCAGCCAGTGTCAAGGGTTGTATAGGCAGCAGCTGAAGGGCTCAGGGCCCCCTGCCTCACATGGTAAAGAGAGGAAGAATAAAAGAGGTCAAGTTATAACCCAGATGGGAAAGTTGGTCCCTGGGACAGTTTTGCTTCCTCTCCTCACTCAAAGGAAGGGGGAAAGGGCATCATTTCCCCTTGCTGCCGAAGTTTCCTTCCGGACAGGCTGGGAGGATTTATAGTAATTTCCTAGTGGAGACAACCTCCCCTACTAGTCCCCAGCTGGCCTCTGCTCTCTTCCAGCCACTTCATAGAAGAGTTGAAATCCAGAACTCTTGTGTGTTTCATGGGCCTGAGGGTAGTGAGGGAGGACAGGGTGGCCAGAGGCAAGGAGTGGGAGATTGGGGCAGTGGCCATTCCTAGCAGTTCCAGGGAAACAGGGCCTTTCTCCCAAGTACCCTGCATAGGCTCAGTGGCAGCACTGGCCACCTGCCTTTCCAGGAGACTCCAAACCCCCATGGAGTGCCTCAGAGTGAATAGGGTTCAGGCAAGGAAGACCACAAAAATGATGAAGAAGACAATGAGGATGAGGAAGATTTTGACCATGAGCCACCGGTTGGAGGTGACTGACTGGAAGTACTTGAGGATCTCTGAATGGGCGGCCTCAACATCCAGCTGGGCTCCTAGCACGTTCTCGTCGATCCTGGGGACAGGGCCGGGAAAGGAGGAAAGAAAAGGACACTGGATTAAAAAGAATGCTGTTGAAGTCTATTTATTGATATGGAAAGATGGTCACATGGGGGAGTAAAAAGTATTTATATACAATATGATCCCATTTTGTGTTTGTGTATAGAAGAGGCTCTAGAAGGGTACTAAAATATGTATTACCCTGCTACATACTAGCTTACTAAGTTAGCCCCTTCAACCTCAAATGCCATTTTCCTCATGGGCAAAATGGAGGTAATAACCCTATGTCGGGCAGCACCTGTGGCTCAAGGGAGTATAGCGCTGGCCCCATATGACAGAGGTGGCAGGTTCAAACCCAGCCCTTGAACAAAAAAAAAAAACTGCAAAAACAACCCTATGTCATCTCAGGTTGTGGTCTTCAATGAGTTAACAAATAGAAGTCCTCAACTAGTTGCTATGAACTATGATGATGCCACAGCACTCAACCCACAGTGACAGATGAGACTGTCTCAAAAAATAAAAATAAAAAAGTCTTCAACCTATAAGAGTCTCCAAAATGTTATCTATTATAATTTTTGCTCATCAGCATCTACTTCTTTTTATCTAGTGAATGTGTGTTGCATTTCTAGTAAGGTGGGGGAAAGTTCACAAACTATTAATCAGGAAATCTTGGTTATGAGTGAAGAAAGAAAGAAAAACTTGATATGGACACCAAGTCAGGTGGTAAGAGAAGCTCTACATTAAAAAGAGAACGTGGTGGCTCGGCGCCTGTGGCTCAAGCGGCTAAGGCGCCAGCCACATACACCCAATGTGGTGGGTTCAAATCCTGCCCGAGCCTGCCAAACAACAACAATGGCTGCAACCAAAAAATAGCCGGGCGTTGTGGTGGGCGCCTGTAATCCCAGCTACTTGGGAGGCTGAGGCAGGAGACTCACTTGAGCCAAGGAGTTGGAGGTTGCTATGAGCAGTGA